TCAGAAGATCCCAAAATCTAAAAGATTAGCACTTTTGCTGAACAAGTCCCAGTTTTCCCTGTATTATGTGCAAATGGCAGGATTTGTGAGGGATTTGATGAGGAAAAATGAAGTTTTTTAATTGCTGCAGTGCCCAGGATCACATAGGAACATCTAGGGAGGCATGGGAGAGATTCAACACCACTGGCTTCGTCTGCACTGGGTGTTTTAATTCCCAGCTCTATTTGTTTGCCCACACAGAGGTATCTCAGGCCAGCTGAGAATTTTAAGGTATTTGAGACATCCTCAGAGGATGTGGAGCCCTCACAGGAGATTTGTACCCACCTGGGTGGGAGCTGGAGGCCAGGAAAGCATCTCCAATGGTACAAAGTATTTCTAGAGTCTGGAGCTGGATGTGAGTCTTCTTTGGACTGAGTAACAAAGTGTGACATCAGTGGCAAAGTGTGACATCAGCCCCCTGCTCCAGCTCCTCATCCCTGCAATGGGACAGCAGGAAAAGCCAGGATCATTGGAGAAAAACCTCCTTTCTGCTGAGTCTCCTCGTCAGAAAGAGCTCCCTGGGGAATGACTCCCTCCCCTTCTCCTGTGCAAACACAGGGACTATAAAAGGAGCAGCAGAGGAGAGCCGTGGGGCTCCCAGCTCATGCATTTTTTCCTTTTCCCAGCCATGCAGTTGGCAGATCGTCACAGCGCCGGTGACATAAAAAAAGAAACCCCATGCACCAAAGAGGCTTTCAACTAATGAAACATTAGCATATTATTAACATTATCTGCGGCACTAATCTAAGGCTGATTGCAGCCACTCAGCCTAAATGAGCAGGAGGTTTATTTAAGGGGGGAGGGGGGAAGGCAGAGTGTGTGTGTTTGTGGGAAAAGGGGCAGTGTGAAGAAATCTGCTCAATCAGATCAAATTAACTCAAAGTCACATCACAGGGCTTCATTATTCCCAGCCAGGGATATTGTCCCCTGTCCCCTCTCCACACCCAGGCACACAAACACACACTCTGCTCATCACCATGGCTGTGTGTGCCATCCAAACACCTGCACAAGGACTTCTGCAAGGTTCACTCATCCACCTCATCCCCCCAGTGATGATTCTCCATTCCCAGCCGAAATTCCCACAACTCCATTGTGTCTCATTGCCATTTTTTATTTATTCTTCCCTGAGGCCCTGGGACAGGCTGTCCAGAAAAGTTGTGGCTGTCCCATCCCTGGACTGTTCTAGTTCAGGTTGGATGGGGCTTGGAGCAACCTGGGATATGGAAGGTGTCCCTACACCAAGAGTGTAGAACTGGATAATCTTTAAGGTCTCTTCCCACCCAAAGCAATCTATAACTCTGTGTTTTCCACCATTTCCCTCTTCTCCTGAGCTTGGCTGACCGGATTCCCTGTGTGGGGCTTTCCTTACATTTGTTCTGTGATTTTGGTGCTCAGGAGAACACACAGAGGTTTAGGAAAACACGGTGTCAACCCTCTGTCAGGAAGGTTGTTACACAAAATCAGGCTTGGAGATGAGTTTTTTACAGAGTTGTGAATGCAATGAGCAAATGGAAGGAACTGGGGAGTTTATCCTGAATATCAGGAGAATTTGCTAAACTGAAAGTACAGAGAGTGAAGGCAGATTTAGCAATCTGCCTGAGAGAGAGACAGGGGCTGGGCTCTGTGCTCAGTGACACATCCCAGCTCCTGGGCCATGAGCTGCAGTGCATCTGCCCTGACAAAAGGCTCGAGGCAAAGGCTGGAGGTATCTCATACAAGGTACCTCAGGGCATCTCATACAAATGAGCTGCTCTTTGGAGAAAAAGGGGGAAAAGAGCTTTGGATTGCAACTGGAATAGCATTTCCTTGGTTAGGGCAGATATATTTTCATATCAAAGGCTGCGATACTTGTTTCCCAGTTCCTTTTTTTTTCCTTTCCTTGAGGCAACGGGGCTTTCCCTGTCATGTAACAACTGCTTCCTGCTCAGGGTACTGGGATCATGGGAAGGCTTGGGCTGGAGCAGTGGAGAGTGACAAGACGTGATGTTCTACAGGGTGTGCCATGAGCATTCCCAGTCTCCACCTGGGAGCTCTACCTACCTCTCTTCCCGTGGGATTGCTGTGAGGGCTAAAAAGCCAAGTCCCTCAGTGACAAATCCCAGAATGGCTTGGGTTGGAAGGGACCTTAAACTCATCCAGTGTCACCCCCTGCTATGTCAGGGACACCTTCCACTATCCCAAGTTGCTGCAAACCCCGTCTAAGCTGGTTTTGGATATTTCCAGGGATCCAGGGGTAGCCACAACTTCTCTGGGCAGCCTGTTCCAGCGCTTTATAACCCATACCATAATAATTTTTGTGGGTTCAATGACTGTTTTCATCTGACGGAGCAACCAACAAGGTCAACATTCCATTGCAACTTAACACAGAGAGATTCAGAGTGTTTGTCATCACCTAAATTTTACTCCCATTAATTTATGGGCACCTTCAATGTGAAAAACACCAATGACTTGTTTTTAGAATTTTTAAAAGTTTGATAATAATGAAATGGTTATAAAAATAGTAATACAAGTAGAGTAATAAAAATTTAGAGTTAGGATAATTACAAAACAATAAAAAGCAAAGAATTACAGGTGTCCAGATATTTTTGGACACTGAGCTGCCAAAAACATGTTTTGTGAACAAAGGAATAACCCTTAAAAACCATACACTGTTGCATATTCATACATACTTCATGGTTATGCATACATTCTATTTAAAACAAGAACCTCTGTCTGGTATATGTCAGCTCCTTCTTTTAATCCCCATGGCATCTTTGAGCCTGAGCAAGGCCTGAAGAAATTAGCTTCTTCTGATAAGAAAACCATAAATTCCCCTTCTCTGGAAGATTTAGGTGTTCTGTGACTGTTATCTCAAAGCGAGTATCCCATTCCTTTAAAAAAAAAAACAAACATATACATAGTTTGCAATTTAACATTGTGGTATAACCTAGAATTCTATTTAACACACTGCTTAAGAGAATTAATACAGCATGGCTTTCTAACATTACACATATAATATTCATTTTAATATTTGAGAAAAGCCAATCATAAAATATGCATTTTTCACATTCAACAAGATTGTATTGACTCAAAACATCTGCCTTGTAAGGATTACAAGGACGAAAGGTGACGTTTCTACCTTCCCTAGATTTTGTGGGGAGGAATTCATTGCATAGCAAAGTTTATCCCAAAACCTTCATAACCACAGCACGATTTTTGATCCCCACCCGCCATTTGCTGCTGTGATGTCTCCTGTGAGCTGTGCCCTGACTGTGTCCCCTCTGCCACCCCTCCTGCAGCCTCCCCTTGCGGTTCTGGGTTAACATGATCAAGAACCCACAGTTCGTCTTCGACATCCACAAAAACAGCATCACGGACGCCTGCCTGTCCGTGGTGGCTCAGACCTTCATGGACTCCTGTTCCACCTCCGAGCACCGGCTGGGCAAAGACTCCCCCTCCAACAAGCTCCTCTACGCCAAGGACATCCCCAGCTACAAGAACTGGGTGGAAAGGTGAGTTTCAGCTATGGAATTATGTCGATTGTTTATCCTCTTTTTCAGCCTGGGTCAGGGTCAGGATTAAATGTGAGCATTTTATATTCGAACTCAGATGTTTATTAATTCTTATCTATGTTACAGTCTCACAAACCCCGAGTTTCACAGTACTTTAATAAGCTACAAAATGGCCTCATATCTATCTCTTCAAGGCCTTTTAAGGATAAACTGTCCAATTAAGAAATGACACCTGAATTATTTTCACTTTTAACCCAATAAGTAATCACCCATGTCCTGCAATGCAAACTTTTCTGTCCAATTGCAAAATACCACCCAAAGCCATGGAGAAGGAGGTGAAGAAGAAGGACCAGTCACTGCCTCAAAACCTCCATTTTGCTTTATAAATATTACTATATTCTACAACTTTAAGCTCTAAGTTTTCCCCCATGTGATATTACACTTCTATTCAAACTCCACCACCCACAATCCCAGTTCTGTCATTCAATTTTGGAAGCTTCTCCACAGCCTCAGGTCAGTGCAGTGTTTTCCTGGGGGTCAGTGCCTGGCAGCACAGAAAGTCTGGAATTCTCAGCAGCCAGGGTTCCAACAGAATGACATAAAGTGACACAACCAGGCTCTGCTTTGTGGGTGGAGGTAGGAGGCAGCATCACTGTTGCTTTTGGAAACTGCCCCCAGGGCTTTTTTGTCTTTCACTTTTGCTAAGTGGAAATCTCCATGTTAGCCTTTTATTCCCTCAGTGCCTTGCAGCAGAGATGGAAATTGAGTTAATGGTGGGAGTTGAAGGTGTTTGCCATCATTGTTTCCTTTGAGGAGAAACTCTTGAGAAGTGGCAGGTGGAGGAAGGAAGGGGAGGTGATGTGTGTGAGCTGTGGGAAGCGTATGGGGCTTCTCAGTCTTTCCACACAGGCCTGAAGTGGTTTGCTGCTCTCAGCACTGTTGCGACAGTCCCCACACTGCCCAGATCCCAAGGGATTTATAATTATCCCACAGCAACTTCCCTTGGAGGCTCTTCTGTGCTTTGAGTGAGATGCCAGAGGATTGACAGGCTGCTGACTGAAGCTCTGCAGGTATTTTATATCAGGTCAGAGGCCTTTCCAAGCATTTTGTCCACACTCCCAAGACCTGTGGCTGTACTTCCATCTGCTGCACAAAGGGTCACTGCCTGGAAAAGCTGCTCCACAGGGAATACAACCAAAACATCTATTCCTGCAGCATGTTGGGGCTTCATTTTCTGTAGGGTTTCCCCCAGGATAAGCAAACAGCACATCCTGTTCGTCATCCACCAGGAGATGGGCTTTGCTTTCCAACATTCTGCACTTGCCTGGCGTTATTGACAGGTTTGGGAACTGCACAGATGGGGAATGGTTGCTGCTCTGTAAATACAAAGGCGGGTTTATCCTACAGATCATTCCTGTGCTCTGCATCCAGCTTTCAGCAATGATTTCCTCTGGATGACTTCCCAGGCATGGCCTAAAATTGATACCGTGTCCTGCAGGTTGTACAAGGCCTCTGCTGCTGCAGACACCTCACACTGTGCTATAAATCCCTGTACTGCCTTTGCTGGGGATGATTTTTTCTCATTTTGTGACAGGAGTGTGGCTGATCAAAGAGCTCCGTCCCCTACTCGGCACAAGGCAGCTTTTTTCCCAACAATTCTCCCATTGGTCTGTGATTTGTCTGGACAATTATTTTTAGATGTGGTTAAACACTTCAGCAAATGTCGTTTCTAGGCAACCTGCAAGGCTCTTATGAGCTACCTTGCTTAATTATGACCTACTTTTGGTACCGTGTCCAAGTTTCTTAGTATGTATTGAGGCTGATTGCTGGATTGACCTGGATAATGGGAAGCAAGTGTTGGAGGTTCCATTTAGAAATCAAGTTTGTACCAACATGACCCAAAGGTGTAATTCTCTAATGATGCTTTAGCAACACTCTGGGTGTTTTCTGTGGACAAATAATGTTTTCCATCTCAAAGTGGTTGATTTTATCTTGGGAGATGCTACATTTGAGTGACAAACTGAGGTATTTAAGTGGAGAATAGGATATTTCCTTATGCAAAAACCACTTTTTTTTTTTTCTTTTTCTCTTTTCCCTCTGGATAAACAAAAGGCTGCCATTTCCATTTTGGTTTTTTTCCAGTATTGATTTCACTTTACAACTTTTTGGAGCTAAATACTGGTGCCCAGTGATCTTCAGCAATAGGTGCTGCATTTCCTTGGAAGTTTTCCCAAACAACTGGGTTTGCAAACGAGGTACATAACACCTCCTGCTGCTTGTAAACAGCCCTGGATTCCTGTCCCCAGCATGTGCTGGGTTGTTATCTGCACTGATGTCTGACAACTTGAACTGAAGCCTAAGGGGAGACTGCAGGTTTTGGAATATGGTTAGATCTTCTTCCCTGCTTTTATTTTTGTGCGTCAGTTCCACTGACTCAAGGCAGTGGCACCTGGATGCTGTGGGAGATGAAAGAAAAAACCTATCAAGGATGAATAAAATATAATTTGAGTTCTACCCCGAGGTAATGAATTCCTTCTCTCCGTTCTGCGATTGTGCTTTGAGGGAGTTTTTCCAAATCCAAAGGCTTCCAGTGCTGGTTGGAGCTATTTCTGTAGTCAGCATCAGCTGGAGATGGCATCCTTCAAGACCACTAGACTTCTTCAAAGAGTGAGTCAGGAGATAAAAAGTCAGGGAGTTTAAGAAGTGGTTGAGTAAATCAGAAGAACCTGAAATCAAACGAACTTCTTTGACAAAAAGGAAACTCTTAAGAGGGTAATTAGTCAGTGGTAGATTGTACCCAACTTGAGGCATTCTGGATTAAAACATGCCTGGTTTTAGAGGTCTGAAAGTGGAACTGAGCTGGGTTACTCCAAGCCATCCCTTTAAAAATCTCTGTTTTCTTGGTGTGGAGCTTTTAGGGCTCACAAACTCAGAGCAGGGAATGACCTCGGCATGAGAAGGAGGCAGGGATGAAAGGACTTCCCTCCAGTCCTTCAAATATTTGTTTTCCACCTGGGAATGTGCATTGGGAAGGGAATAGTTACAGCTTCTGGCCTTACCACTGGTCTGCCTCCACAGGGTGGTCAACTGGAAATTTGATTCCAAAATATTTCAACAGCAAGACTGTCAGGAATCTTCTCTGCTTTTGTTTGTTTGGCTCTTGTTTTAGTGTAGGACTTTCTCATGTTTTCAGTTACTTCTTTGTGATGAGGCAAGAGTTGCCTTCAGAATTGGGATGCATGACAATGACTAATTAAAATATTTTAAATTTTACCAATTTTTGCAATTTCCTGTCGACTTAATGGAAAACTATATAAGAAATGGACAACTTCCATGACATTTTGAGAGGTTGGTTGTTTTAGTGCCATTTCAGTAATTATTCAAGATAATGGATTTGCTGACAACAGCAACAAAAAAATTGTGCATCACTTAACTTTAGTTGAAGATGCTCCCTGCTCATTGCAGTGAGTCTGGAATAGACGACCTCTAAATGTCCCTTCCAACCCAAACTATTCTGTGATTTTATGAAAGTCCTTTTGTAACATTGTTGGAAGCAGAGATGGATTCCGCCTGCTGAAACAGCCCAGCTGAGAAATTCTGACTTCTGGGAAAAAGCAGGTTCCCTGTTCAAATGAGACACACAGAGCTGGAGACACGTGGTTGAAAAGTGTCCCGGTGCAGCCACATCTTGGATTTCCTGCTGCAGAGCAGGAGGCCTGATGAGGCAGGACAATTAACCCAGGAAATTGGGACAGGCTATTTGGCTTTTGTTGAAGCCACGAAGAGTCAGGCTGTAGTTCTAAAACAAAGTGGAGGTTTTTCAATTATCATTAAAAAAAAAAAAAAAGGAGGAAAAGAATGGTAGCAATAGAGCAGAATCTCATCTGACTTCAGTTAGTAAAACTCCATAGGCTCTGCTGAATTTACATTAGAGCAGCTTCAGATCTGCATCTTTTCAAGTTTACTTCAAATGTCCCCTTTGAGCCTGGAAATCTGGAGAACTTGGGAGCATTTGATGCAATCCCCAAGCAATACAAAGGAGAGCCTGTTCTAATTGGGACTGTCTCATTAGCATTCAACACCACACTGAAAAAATGACAAAGGGCTGTGGCTGACCTTTCATTTCTTTCCATGCTGCCAAGCTTATGATAACACTTGTTTGAACTTCATTAACACCATTTAATTGCCTGCATCACAATCAATATGATGTTTCCCTGCCGAAGCCTGGCACAGAGGCAAGGATGTGGGAGACTGAAAAGGGGCAGAGCACAAAAAGCAGAAGTCAAAGAGTTTTTCCATTTCACATTGGTGCCCAAAACACCTGCAGGGCTGCAAGGAGAGGATCTGGTGCTCTTTTTTTGCCTCATCCCTGCAGGGAATTGGTTTCCTTTTGGCTGCTTATTGTGCATTGAAAAGAGCCCCTCTAAGAAAAACTTAAAGTCAATGGAGACATCACAAGAGTTCTTAACTTAAGAGTCATCCAATGAGGATCGTTCAAAATAGGCTTGCCAGGTTCAGGATCAAAAGAAGCTTAAAGTGATCTGATATGTGGGATTCAGAATTATAACATTTGCTTTTTATTGTGTTAACCTGGGTGCAAACAGTGCCTGACATAGCTGGTGCCACTCCTGAGGCCATGAGCTCATCTACATTTTTTTCCTTACAAGTACAGATACTTTTAGGATAAAGGGAACACTTTTAAACTAAAAGAGGGAGATTTCAGTGAGATGTTTGGAACTCATTCTTTACTCAGAGGCTGGTAAGGTCCTGGCACAGGATGCCCAGAGAAGCTGTGGCTGCCCCTGGATCCCTGGAAGTGTCCAAGGCCGGGTTGGATGGGGCTTGGAGCAGCCTGAGATAGTGGAAGATGTCCCTGCCCATGTCTGGGGCGGGACTGGATGATCTTTAAGGTCCTTTCCAACCCAAAATATTTTTGATTTGGTGATTCATGAAGCAGCTATGATTTGCATCCCATTAGCCTTTAGATGTCGAGGTCTAGATCTTGTTAGAAAGAGCTTTATGAGCGTGTTTGGAGTACGTAAAACCTACAGCCTGTACCCATTTGGGATTTCACCTACCCAGTGTGTCCGCTTGGGGTTTCAGGGCTCTCAAGTCACTAGGAAATCTCTACCTGTGCAATGCTTGTTTTGTCTGTTGGCCACTTTACAGCTAACTTTAGAAAGAAAGACAAGCTGGACCAGTTTAAAACAATAAAAATCTTCACGTACCCTAACATTGTGAGTTATTGAGGTTTTAAGGAGAAACTCTGAGGGCTTTAAAAAAAGAGTATCACATGAGAGGTGCAAATCCTGGCTCTCTGTTAAAAAATTAGTTTTCTGTGCCCCCTCTCTCTCTCTCTGCTGAAAAGAAGGCTCAAGAAGTAGCATACCAAAGGTCAAGGCAGGGAGTGTTGTCAGTGGAGATAATAAAAAACAGCGCTGGAAGGGGCCTCAGGAGGTCAACCCGAGCATCTCCTGCCTCAGGGCAGGATAATCTCTGTCTAAAGCCTTCCTGACAGATGCTTGTCTACCCCTTTCTTAAAGGCCTCCAACAACAGAGCCTCTGCTGTCCTCGGGCAATTCATTCCCCTGCTTCCCAGTCCTTCCCATCAGTGTTTTCCCTGCTGGGCAGCCAAAATCTCCCTGGCTGTAATTAAAGCTCAGGCATCGCCATGGCAGGGGGTACAGCTCATTCCCTGCCTCTCTGGGGCAGCTTTTGGTGTATCTGAAGACTGCTCACTTGTCTTTCTTCACTTTTCATCTAACAAAAAAAAAACAAAAACCCTGTGTTTTCTCATCACGCTGAAAAGCTGCTCCTACGCAGCGCAGCTTTCAGCCGGCGAGATGGAAATGTGTCCATATGTGCAGGGTGCAGCCCTGTGGGAATCCAGAGCTTCCCTCTGGCTGCCCTGGCAGGTCTGGGACCCTGGCAGGGGTCAGGAACCCCCTGGACAGAGCCCCCAGAGACACTGTCTGTGATCTCTGTCCATGGAAAAGAGTTTTCAGTCTCACAGGATGAATTACAAGCTCTGAGTGTTTGATATAAGTAATAATTAAGTGTGGCACGGGTGCAAAAGTAAAATTTTAGGATTCTAGATAAGGGGTTCAAAGGGCACAAGATGGAGGAAATTGGGTGTGTCTTGTCCTTTTTCTCCTCCTTCATGCCCTCCATGTTTCACTGTGGTGTTGGCATTTTTCTGTTGGTTCAGGCTGGGGACACACTGTCCAACGTAGGTGACAGATATTGGCACGTTATTGTAAATCCAGCACAGGTAGTTTGTGGTATTTAATGTTTGTAACATCCCACTGAGGGCAGAGCCCCACACGCTGCCCTGCAGGACAGAGCTGCGGCAGGGCAGCAGAACATGTTAGAGATAAACAGAATAAACAACCTTGAAACCAGCACAGACGAATTATGGCTTCTTCTTTGGCAGTGGGGCTGACAGACAGAGACTTTCTACAATCTCGGAATCATCAATACCACAGATTCCGACACAGCCCCACACATCCTCTGCTCTGAGGTGGTGCTGGGTGATCTCTTCTGCCAAAGGAACTACCTGTGCACCGATTCACTCTTCAGCCACTGAGCCAGAGCTGTTCTTCAACCCTCCATTGCTTATTCCGAGGGGAGAAACAGCAGGAGAACCGATGGAGAAGGAGGTGAAGAAGAAGGACCAGCCTCTGGCCCAAAACCTCCCTCTTGCTTTATATCTATTCCTGTATTCTAAACCCTTAAACTCTTGAGTTTCCCAGCCTGTGATATCACACACTTCTATTCAAACTCCACCCCCCACAATCCCAGTGCTGCCATTCCATTTTGGAAGCTTCTCCACGGCCTCAGGTCAGTGCAGTGTTCTCCTGGGGTCAGTGCCTGACAGCACAGAAAGTCTGGAATTCTCAGCAGCCAGGGTTCCACCAGAATGACATAAAGTGACACAACCAGGCTCTGCTTTGTGGGTGGAGGTAGGAGGCAACATCACTGTTGCTTTTGGAAACAGCCCCCAGGGCTTTTTTGTCTTTCACTTTTGCCAAGTGGAAATCTCCACATTATCCTTTTATTCCTTTTTTATTCCTCTGCCTTGCAGCAGAGATGGAAATGCAGTTAATGGTGGGAGTTGAAGGTGTTTGCCATCATTGTTTCCTTTGAGGAGAAACTCTTGAGAAGTGGTAGGGGGAGGAAGGAAGGGGAGGTGATGTGTGTGAGCCCTGGGAAGCGTATGGGCTTCTCAGTCTTTCCACACAGGCTTCATCAGCCACCGAGTCAGAGCTGTCCATCAACCCTCCACTGCTTATTCTGGGGGAGAAGCAGCAAGAAAAGCCATGAACAGGCAAAATAAAAGCATTGCCTTTTTTAGGGCTTGCACATATGGACAGAATTGTTCCCTCCTACAGCTTGGGTTGGAAGGGACCTTGAAGCTGATCTCATTCCACCCCCTGCCATGGGCAGGCACACCTTCCACTATCCTAGGTTGCTCCCAAGCCCCATCCAGCCTGGTCTTGAACACTTCCAGGGATGGGACATCCCTGATTTCCCTGGGCAATCTATTCCAGTGCCTCACCAGCAGCTCAGAAGCTCCCCGGGAAACTCGAAGTGCCATTCTGTGTCAGCGCAAGAACTGACAGCACGTCCTGGCACGGCTTCACTGCATCCCAAAAAAGAACTGGTTGTTCCCAAGCTTTCCACCAGCCCTTCCCTGCTGGAAGAGTCCCCCATATCCCTTTCACACACCTCTCCATCCTTCAGTGGTCTGGATACAGCCGGCTATTGCATAACCCTAATTATGTTATTGCTGTAATTGCGTCTGCCGTCTGCAGCACATGGATTCGTTACAAGCTTTTCATATGCTAAAACGATTATTAATGAGTGCAGTCCCATCCCAGCGACAAACAACAGCCATGACAAAAAGATCTTTTGGAAGGCAATTAGCTCCATGCTAAGCTGCCTAAACCATGGCCTGTGCTGGGAAATTTCGGGCTGGGGAGGAAGCGTTGGCAACGTGGCTTTTCTCTTCTCTTTTGATGAGTTAATGAGTTACTGAGCGGCAGCAGGCACAGTCATTCTTGTGAAACATCTCCACTAAGGAGCCCTTCCCGATCGGTACCGAGGGAAAAAAAACATTTATCCCTGGATAAACAGAGGACAAAATGTATTCCCAGGTCACCGTGATGGATGCTCAGGTCATTGTTGTGTCGCTTTCCTTGGGAAAACAAAACAAAACAGAACAAAACAAAACAACAAAACAAAAACCAAAATGCAACCCAGGGAAAGATGAGGGTGGAAGGAGCAAGAATAATTATTTTTTCAGTAGAAGAGTACCAGCTGTATCCTGGTACATCCCAAATCCTTCTCCATCCATCAGTGGCGGTGGAGGGTCTCCTGGGCTCTCTCTCCATTCAAAGCAGGCTGGGGTGAGCTGCTGTTCCCGTGATATCTGTGAGGACCCATCCCATGGCCTGGTTCTCCTCACATCCTCCAGCTGAACTGGAGTGCTGGAATGATGAGTTTACCCCAGTTCCTCATAATTGTAATTGCTTGTGAAGTCTAATGAGCAAATTTCCTGTTGTCACATCAGAGGATGGAGAGCCTTGAGGTAAGAATAGAGGCTGCTCCTGTGAATAAGGGGAAACTCAGACACACAAGGCTGGATCTTTTGATCCCCATCTGAGAATCTTCTGGAAACAGCTGTGAAACGAGCCACTGGAGATGAGCAAAATTGGAGTACAGCAGCAGCAGCAAATCTGCTCAGGATTCTTGTTCTTGACCCTTTGAGGGCAGATTAAACTGCATTTACTGCTTTGCTTTGCTACCTTTCTGTCTCGTTCAGAGAGAA